AAACTCCTGTATAAGAGTGTTTGGAGGCCTGTATACACATCCAATAATGACTTTTCCCCCTTCAGCACCACTTGAGGACAATTCAATGAAAATACACTGAGTTTCTGACTCCTCAATTTCAAACTCCAAGTCATTTCTCTCAACATAGGATAAGTCATTTCTTATGAATAGGGAAACCCCCCCTCTACCTTATGATGTCTGCATGATGAATAACTTTATAATTGGGCATGTTGTAATTTTGAGCTGTATTTTGAGATAACCAAGTCTCTGTTATGCCAATTACAGAAAAACTATGTTTTAAGGAGTGTAGGTATTCATTAAGCTGCTCGAAGTGGCGTGGAAAGCTCCTAGCATTCAAATGAAACAACGATAGAGAACGTCTCTTGCTTAAATTACATGAGTTTACAAAAGAATCAATATCATAGTATTGGGAAGTATTCTTAGAAGAACCATAAAAATTACAAAAGAAGTTCGAATCAGGGTCTAGAGATGATAGGGGTGTGTCACAAACATTATCATTTAGATTGAGGTCAAAGGGGTTGAAAACTAAAGAGCTCAGGTCGGTGATTGGAGATGAGTGTTGATTATTAGTAGGGTTCATGTTCAAGATGTATAGTTACCATGGTAAGTTACTGGTTGTATATACTATTCTTCAAGCGTTAGGACTCCTCGGTGGATGCACTACAAGCCGATCAAATCTCAAGAAAGCAATGTTTCCTCGCTCTCTCTGAGCCCTCATTTCTGGTAGTAGTTCCTTGCGTTTTTGACGTACAGCATCTGAAAAGTCTTCATTTACATAGATGTTAGAACCCTTGAGGTGCTTTGCTCTCTGCAAGATTGCTTCCTTGTCTTTGTAACGCAGAAGCTTCACAACGATGGGCCGTGGCCGGCCCTCCTCTTGGAATTTTCCATTGCGATGGGAGCGCTCGATCTCGATCTTTAGGGGATCCAGCTTGAGTTTGTCCTTAAGAATGTCTGGTACCTTTTGTTCACACCGAGACCAGTTCTCCTGCTTGTTGTCGGGAACGCCGTCAAACAGTATGTTGTTGCGACGGGACTGATTCTCCAGGTAGTCGGATTTGTGGGCGATCGTGTTCATGTCAGCTCCGAGACGATCCATTTTGGCCTCAACTTCCTTGATGTGGAGACTCAGGTCATGTTGTCTCGATTTGTGGTCTTGGATCTCCGCTTGGGAGTACTGAAGACTGTCTTTAATCTCCTGAACCTCACGGATAAGATTATCCATTCGTTTGTTAGTTGAATCCATGACAGATGTGATGAAGGACTGGAAGATTGATTGTTGTCTGCTCAACAAATCTTCATACTGTGTTTTTTGTTGATCAAGCATTTCCTTCAAAGTTCCCAGAGTAACGACATCTTCATCGACCTGTTGTTTTTGGCCCCGCGTTGGCATGGTGACGGAATGTAGACAACGCGATTTCCACCTGGCAAGGTCCACTGATCTAATTAACTGGGTAAATTTGGCGGGAGTGGGGAGGGCGCCGTGAACTGAAACAGAGAAATAATCAGCAGCACAAGGAATACTTCACAGGATATAAGAGTTGACGGTGTAACAAATACTTTGTTTTGTAACGTAGAAAGAGACTTACCCGCGTGGGCTCCTTTCAAGGAGCCCGCTGCGGTTTATCCGCTTGAGACAAAGAGTGGAGAACTCGCCGGCACGACGAAACACTGGTCAGAACCGTGGAGCTAAACTGGCTTCAAGTCGATTCAAGTTGACAAAGATTGAACAAATGATGATACAGAGAAGATATCAGTTGTCCCTGGATGTCCAACGGGCAAGGATGTCTTCCGAAACGGACGTAAATCGGTCTCAAAAGAAAATTTCTAGGCACAGTGTTACTCCCGTGTCAGGTCACGCCGCCATCTTGGAAGTGATGTATATGTATTACGTGCTTAACAGTATCTATAGCAGGTACATGTATACATATTGATAGAAATTACAAAGAGAGTAGACTGATTTAAGTGAGTTAAGTTGTTTCATACTTTACTAGGTTCAATACTCGCCAGTGCTGGAGATACCTCCCGGATATGTTGTTATAACACCGCGGGTGTTCAGCATTGATGGTCGAGAAACGATTCTCCAGCTACCCCCAGTTCAGGTGAGAAAACTTCCTCCTAACAAAATTCTGTTTATTCAAAGTGATACATATGCAGCGATTGGAATATAAAATACAATAGAATATAAAAGAGCACCTAGAATATCCCGAGTGTAATGATATAATAGAAAAAAGATTATTAGGAAGATCGTTGCAATTATACATATGACAAAAGCTAATTTAACACACTTATGAACTTCTGCCCTTGTAATGATAAATTTAGTCAACATACAAGGACTTATGCTTACTAATAGTTAGAATGAGATGTTGTGGAGACTTTGTGACACCTTTGAATTGTTATTATCTAATGAAATTAGTACAGGCATAAACTGTTATAAAATCTTTTTTTAAGATACTGCCACCCACGTTGGAGCAGTTGGCACAAGCTGTAGAAGAGTTATACAACAGAGAAACGGGTCTTTTCTTCATCCACCAGCAGCAAGGCGCTAAGGAACAAGCATTTATGGACTCCGTCATTCCGCCTAAAGCACTAGCCTCTTTAGCCAACCAAGGATCAGACATCAAGGAGGTGTGGATTTTTTTCTTTTCAAAAAGGAAAAAAACAGCAATTAAAAAACAATATTTTTCTCGTCTCAGTATTGTTAGTAGAAGATGTTCATAATGTCATCATGAAAGCTCATCTGTGTTGGTGGTAATAAATTATAGTAGAAAGTTAAACTTTATTCCAACACACAGTTTAAAGAGAGATCAAATTTCCATCGACCACTTTCGCCTCTTTAGGATAATTAATGACCAAAAACTTTGCAACGTGATCTCGCGAGAGTTACGGTTTACAAACACGTAACATTATTCACACGAGGCTTTTACTGATACGTGACATAAGCAAATGATCAAAGGTGCCAGTGAGTTTATATTGCCCACCATCTCTATTAGGTGAAGGATGAAGTGCTCTGATATATATGGTGGTCGCTGAAAATTTGATCTTTCTGTAAACTGTGTCGATGAGCTATTCCAATCTATAAAGATGTGTCACTGACTTCATTGTCTCACTACGGCGTTATGATAGCTGGTTGACATCACCATTGAGGCAATGGCTGAGGCAGAGGAGGGAGCAGATGGCTACTTGGGCCTGATGGGCCTGGCATCAGCAATTACACTGGTAACGGCCACCCCAGAACAAGTGTCGGCAAAATCACAGGTTATCATATCTACAGCTACTTTCCGTTAGTTCCTAACTTCCATGCTTTTTATAATCATGGCTACTTGTGGGGCGAAATTACACGTTGCTGTATACACAGTTGCCTGTAAACATTTAAAATATGCCACGACTATACATGTTTTCCAGATGTTTAGACAAGGAAACTTTAAGCATTGCATTCTTAGAAAGAAGAAAAGTCTCCTTTTTTTTGGGGGGGGGGTATTAATTCGTAAAACTCTTTGTGTCAAAAGCAGTGTGACTGTTAAATCTCACTGGCACTGGCAAAGTAGAAACAGACATGCTAAAGCAACTTTGTGTTTTTTTTTAATTGCGAAAGGTTCAAGCAGCGTCTACCCTAATGTCAATGACAGAGACGGTGAGAGATCTGTTATTTGTAGAGTCCGAAAACAGTACTGAGGAGCAAATTTCTCTGGATTTTCTCAACCGAGCGGCGGGCACTATGGTCACAGGTAAGTGTTCTCACTTGTGGAGTGCATGATGCATTATCGTCTAGGTCAAAGGTCATGATTCTATGGATATGTATTTATATATATATATGTGTGTGTGTATTCCTTGTTGTCTAAACGTGTAGCCCTCTAAAAGGCTGAAATTGCGTAAGAATTATTGAAATTTGGTCTACAAATTCTATATTGAGTTTATTGACTTCGTTCACATTTCAGTAAAATACATGGCAGCTTTATTTGCATACAAAGATGCTGAATTGTGCACTTTACATGATCAACATGATAACAAATCTATATCTATATTATATGATCAACATGATAACAAATAAAAAAAAAACTAGTAAACAATGACATATTACAATGCTTACTTCTTAATTATTGCAATGATGTGTTACAGTATAATTCAACTGTAAATGTAACGGTGTATTTTTTATGTTAACAGGTGTTTCGAATATCCTAAAAGCCTCAGAAGTGATGGCTTTATCGGAATGGAGAGGAGGGAACACGAACTCTCCTGACTTAGTAGCGGTACGTTTCTATTACTGGACAAAAATTTGGATTTACTAATAATATCAAATGCCAGTATAGTCGGGAAATATTTCCTTTGTAGTCAGTACATTATTTTACAATGGAGGTAAATAAGACCATTGTAAAGTCTGGTACTGTTTTAACAGTAAATATTTCCCGACTTAAATATCAGTTACGTGAATGTTTCACCGCTAATTACAACCTCCAACGGTTTAAATCAAGGGTGAACAAATATCTGACCACGCAGTCATCACTGTAACCCAAAACAAGTAAGTGGCTCTCACGAGCCTTGTTTTGAGGTGAATCTGAAGTAAATGAAAAAAAAAATTACTCACCTCACCTGACCTCTCTCTTGACCTCGTTAAGGGTCGTTAGGGGACTATTACTCGGTCCACTATCCTCCTTCATTTAACTTCATATTGTCTTCTTTCTTTGCCTTTTTTTCATATTGTCTTCTCTCTTTGCATTCCCCATTTTAAACTTCCTGGCACTGTACCTCGTAGTAGAGTTTCCTTCGTTGGGTTGAGGAGGCCAACATCACCATCAGTGTTAGTGATCCCTGATGATCTTGCAACATGACCCCAAATCATCTCAGCTTGACAGTTACTTCCATTTAGTAAACTCGATTTTTTGTGTAGTATAGATTAATGCCTTGGATTTTGTTTTTGTTTCACATCCTCTTTGATGAGAGATAAGAGTCATTTTTGACATGTCATGGTTGGCAGCTGCTGCTGCTTCTTATTTTTTTCCTCCGAAAGATGTTCTATAATTCCCCACATGTCCTTGCCTCCCTTGTTTGTTTTTACCGAAGAGTATGATCTATTTTACACTTCTAATCAGTTAATTTTCAGTGTTAAAAATAAACCAGTTTTATGAGAAATACACCGCGTGCTTAGTCTTAATCTACCTTATCCTCGTGCAGGTTCCTATTTTTGTTGTAATTTTTTTGTTGATGTTTGCATGGTTAACCTCTAATTTTGCAATTGCGTCCAATCTTACCCTTTCTGTGTCTCATTTTATATTCATATATTCCAAATATGCATATATTGACGGTTGTTTTTCTCTCTATCATAAAGAGCAAGGCTGCCACGACCCTCGCGTTTCAGGCTCTGGACTTGTTGACTGACGTCATACTGAATGCAACGATGTCTGAGGTAACAGATGTGGACGTGTTCGCTGTGTATAACACTTCCAAGGTATGACAAAGTATTCTTTGTATCTGTATTGACGGTATAACACATCAGCTTCACAGTCACGCAGCGCGGTGGCAGCTAGCTATATCACACCGAACGGCTTGTTAACCTCAATCTTTGCACATTTAATTGTAGGAGTTTTTAAGCTTTCTAGTGATGATGCCCCAACTCTGGTTGGTGGTAAAGAGTTCAAGTCTACGATAGTTCTTGGAAATACGAGTTTTTGAACACCTCAATTCTTGTTGATAACTCTAAAGGCATAACTGCTCTCGTTTTTTCTGGGCTGGTATTAAATACCTAGTGGTTGGCACTGTAATGTAACTTGAAATTACTGTTTAATGACACACATCGAGGTGTTTACATTGACAGAACATCTGCCGAGTGACTTATAACCCCCGAATAACTGATCCCGATACTACGCTATGTAACTAATCGGAATTGAGACTTTTGATTGGTCCATATATTTTTGCTATTTGATAATAATGGATAACGTCTGCACCTAGGTTTGCCCTTATAAATTATACGCGTGGGGTCGTGTGGCGTAATGGTAGAGTGCTCGACGAGTGACCCATCTTGTGTCCTTGGAAAAGGCACTTTACAAGACTTTCCTCACTTCGCTCAGGTGGAAGTGAGCATTGTTTTGTCTCCTGTGGTTGGTGGCGATATTAATAAAAGTTGAAAAACTTAAGTGTGCCGTCATCACGTTTTATGATTACATGTTGAATATTTAAAAAAAAAAATGCACCAGACTCTCGATTTTGCTATAATGGTTCTTTAGGAATGCAAAGAATGATAAAAAGATAGTTATATGAGTATAGCGATGACTTCTTGCAGTAAAGCTTAATTATTTGCCTTTTAGGTACATGTAAGGATTCAGCGACAAAATAAAAGTGACTCCGAGGAGAAAGTGTACCTGGTTGAGGGAATAAGTGACTCGTTAGTTCGCATTCCTTCAGTGGCGTCACTGGTCGGAGACAAGTGCACGATGGAAGACACAGTAGTTATACAGGTGAACATCATCATTCTTACAGACGTTTGTATAGCAAAGACTGGAGTCATTAGAACGATTCCTGTACGTTGGAGAATTCTTATTTGAATCACTACAATAGCGACACCATATTGTAAATAGCTAATATATCCCCAAAATTACAGAATGTAATAATATTCTTCCTAAGAAAACACAATAGATTACCTTTAATATCATTACGGACTAGCTCGTTAGAATCACATTTTAGTATAAGTTTGTGTATGTACCATCGTTGTTTCTTTGCCATAAATTGTACCAGCTACAGTTGTTGAGCAATAAAGTTAATTTGATTTGATTTGTTAGACGATCGATCGAACGTTTAATAAAATTAGCCTAATAACCAAAATATGTATTCATTGATAATTCAATTTTGGAACTTTTGTTTACATTGATGTACTCTTTATAGCCACTTTCTATTGCAAAACTGGTCTAGTAAAAGGCAAGTACTAACTAACAAGCACACGGTAGCAGTCACGTTTTTCAAAGTTCACATTGTTTCAATGTGTACGTGCTTGATATTTTTAATTGATTGATACAAAACTGTTAATTTCAAATAGGAAGATCAGGCAAAAGTCCGGATTTATTCTAGTGTTGTTGACAAAGCTTAGTCTTAATAACTTGTACCAACACAGATTAACTTTCATGCTAACATATATCCCAATGTACAGTTCTTTGAGGCCAACTTCAACCCGTTCGAGTACTCTGAAAACTCGTACGGTATCCAGTCCGACGTTGTAGGCCTCCACGTCAGATGTGGGGATAAGAAGATTTCCGTGTCCGATCTAGAGGAGCCGATCGACATCCTGACACGGAGGGAGGACGAAGGAGGCCTCGACAATATGACGTACATCTTCTCTGATTCGGCGGAATTGGGGAATTTATCGGTAGGCTGAGTCTGATGCGTTCTAGTGTTATGTCGTTATTGATCTTTGGAAAAGGGAGCTTTCGCAATCTCAAAGTCTGAAAATAGCACTGTCCCTTGTTTAATTTCTAGTTTGGGTGGTGCTAATTCATGTTAGTTTTGTATCTTTGGGCTCTAGGGAAAGAAGGCAGATATTTGGTTTAACTTTAGTTCATAATCATTTTCAATTCCAATTTCTCCGAGAAAAGTAAATATGAAACATAAACCATGCTGTTATAATGAAGTATCAGTCTTTTATCATTTAATACATTAAAGCAAAGTACTGGGAGTTATACAGATCTTCCTCTTAGGTAGGTAGGCATTCGTCGGTCCTCCATGAAGTTTTAAATCTCTGGGTTCTTACATGATTTTTTTTTTAATTTCTTATCTCAGGTGTTCCGGTTTTATGCCAAAAAGGAATTTTCCTCTTTCGGCTTCAGTCTAGACGTCAGCACTGAAAACAGTTCTGTCTCCTGGCAAAGCGCGACGCTGTATCTGAACAAGCACGAGCCACCCACCACGGATACATATGGATGGTCAGGTTCCCTACCGCTACCAGATGATGAGCTTTTTACTCTTCCGAGTTTGAACATGACGTCCAACCCGCACCAGTGGCACGTACCGGAGGATGAAATACTCATCACCGAGAGAGATGTGAAGAGGACACGGTATTACATAGGTAAGTTGATGGAGGTTAGACATCCAGGTATACCGGTTATAGAAAATTCAAACTCTACTACTTTATAAATTAAGGAGACAAATTTCAGACATTTCGAGTGACCATTCCAAACATCCAAAATTATCCCCGTCATTTATCCAGCAGGACAATTGAAGTTTTTATGAGTATTACATAGGTATGATAATGCCATCTTCGTATTCAAAATGTATCTTTAAGTATGACAAGTCACACAGTCGAAAGATGTAAGCCTAAGGTCATAAATAGTTTTATAATCAGACTAAAACTAAAAATTCACGACTAGCTCAATTAAAAAATGAGTACAATACAATATAAACAATACGTACATATTATTGCATAATAAAAGAAAATCAATGTCGATTAAAATTTGAATCAATCGTTGAATATTCAGTTCATTATTATAGGGGTTCTGTAATTTTTTGTGTCCTGAACAATACATACGTTGTATTAAATGTATGTATTTAATGGAATTTTAAATTTGTTCTATAACAGGGGTACAGTTTGGGTCTGATCTGGACCTAGGAAGTGGAGAGTTTGTCGACTTCACTCTTCACGTATTCGAGACTTCCTGTGTCTATTTTGCCGAGGAGAACACTCACCTGTGGCAAAGTGACGGTTGCAACGTGAGCCTTTTTCTTCATAAACATACACCGTGATCGGGGGCCATAGGTCGTTGTAGTTTGTAGCGACCCCCGTCTTTGTCTCAGGATAATTCAAATCATACTTTTTTGAGGAATTATAGATTTTTATTTACTTATCTGAACTATAAATACATAATCACAGATAAGTATAATTCATACAGTTGTGTTAAATATATGTTTGACACAATTACACTAATAACAAATACGATAAACCAATTATGATATTTTAACGTACGCTTTCAGGTTGGGTTGCTATCAAATACAACCCATATCCACTGCCGATGTAACCACCTGACCAAGTTTGCTGGTTTTGTGTCGCCAAATCCACTCAACATTGAGGAAGTTCTGAACCTCGGCCTCGTTGCTCTAAGCGGTATGTAAAAAGTAATGTTTTTTTGTAAGCAATATGATTACGTTTTTTTGTAAGCAAGACAGCATGTAATATTTTGTAAAAGATACATATGTTATTGAATTTTGCAAGTAAACAAATGATAAAAAGGGTCAGCACAGGCAGAACTAAGCTGGTAACGGCATTTGAAGACTTATGATGCAAATGTCTGCAAATTGGACCCTCCAAGACCGACTAACTCCCCTGGCCAGTTACATTTTAGGCATATTCTACCATCTACTTAGTCTTATGGAGTCTATGTATTTACGTGCGACAATGAAGGCTGTCATTTAGTTGTTGTTTTTTTGTCATTCGTATTTATCTTGACGCATTTCAGAAGTTTTCATTTATATTTTTATCCAGAAAACCCTGTGGGACTCGCCCTGGTACTCGCGGTTTTCGCCTCCTACCTGTTTGGTCTCCTGTGTGTGAGGAAGGCAGATAGAAAGGACCTAACGAAGGTAGGCAGCAGTTAACATATATATAGGTTTCAATCAATCTTCATGCAGATCTTTCGGTAGCCGCAAAGACAGTCTCAACCTGGCCAGTCAGTATCCATTAAAAAGGCAGTATCTGCGTAGCCAAATGATACTGCCTGGCCAATTTGATACTGTCTTGGCGGCCAGCAAAAATCTGCTTGGAGAATAGATTTCAATCCCCATTTGCAAATAGAGACAGCGAATTCATTATCTTATAAGTCTAGTAGGGTAACTTAAAAACAAGGAATAGATCCAAAACTTTAAAGCGGTTGCAGCTAAAACAAGGGTGGTGTTTAAAAAACACACCGGCGACGTATTTTGATAATAAAATTATTACCTTCGCAAAGAAGGTTATGTTTTCAGAGGCGTTCGTGTATGTGTCTGTGTGTCTGTAAACAAGATAACTTGAGAAGGCCTTGATGGATTGTCTTGATATTTGGTAGGTGGGTAGGTCTTGATGAGACCTCAAAATGATTAGATTTGGGGCCCCATAGCGGCTTGTTATGGTGCTGCAGCTAAACTTCCGGTTTTCATATCTCATGATCTAAACATGTTAGGGTGACGAAATTTAGATGGTAGGTAGCTCTTGTGCTGGGGAAGAAGTGACGTGAGTTTAGACCTCCTAGCGGCTTGCTCTGGAACTGCAGGGCTATATGTTTGAAAGTATTCAAAAGAGGATAACTCAAGAACCGGTTGATAGATAGTCGTTATTGTTGGTATGTAGGTAGCTTACGTGATGCTTGATATAATTATGTGATTTGCATAATTTATGGGGAAATTCTATAAATCAGCTGCATTCCATGATAGGACTATTGAAGCTCGTGAAATTGGTAATTGAGAACGAGAGAAACACAGGCAGATATTGATTATGTAAATCAAGACCTAATTTGCATAATTAATTTTATAATTATGTAATGATAAGTGCCTGGAATTTCATACTTGTGGTATTTGAAAGATAAGTGAAGGTGAACACTTATCTTTATCTTATGAAAACATAATGTATTCAAATTAGGACCTCATTTGCATAATTTATTAGGAAATGCTAGAATGGCATTGTTTGTTAATATAAGACTGTACATTGCGAATATGATAAATTGATATCCATGAAAATGAGAATGGAAATGAGCACCCTATTTGTTAAATTAGGGAGAATAATCTATAATTTGTCAGTCATAAAGATTAACATCATTTGGCGAAGGTATGAGATCGGGGACCTCTAGTTATATTATAGTATAAATTTGTAACCCTTTTGATATACCTTGTTTAAAAGGAATTTTTCTTATAACGGATTGTTGTTTTAGTACTACTAGTATGTCAAAATGTGTGTGCTTTTAACACCGTATTGTATGTAGGAAGTTGTATTGTTTGTTTTTGAGGATGCTAATATGATGCATGCATCAACGACTGATGAAATGTGTACCCTGAGCTGTAACTCACATTCGTATGGATTTATGTTTGATTATTTAGGAAGTACGTGAGTAAGGTATGGTTATTAGAAAAGAATGGTATCTGACGCAAGTATTACCAAATAAGGATGAGCTTTATAATAGGTATTGCCATATATAATAGACACGCTATGTGTACACCCAGTGGGTCTCCACCAGAAAGCAGACCGGGCGCTCGTCCAAGGTTCCCCAGATATCTGGCGTCTCCATATTCCACCTAACATGTCTGACTTTCCTCAGCGCCTTCAGAAATTCACGGAGGCGCTGAAGGGACTTGTACAGAACTACCCCAAGGTCACAGTATGGGACCACAGACGTCTGTGGAGACGCAACCCAAATTGCAAACTACTTTGCGCCTGACGGCCTACACTTGTCCGATCTGGGAAACATCCAGTATTACAAAAGTGTCCGCGGGGCTTTAGACCGCCACACGCTCCTACACAGCGTCCTATTAAAGAACCCTATTGAATATGCGTGTGTGAGTCTTTTGTGCAATACATTATACAGCCGCATGATGGCTTCTGGCGCCTGGGTTCGTCACACAGACGATCCTGGGAAGGAGATCATGCTGGGCGAGGCAGACTGTCCGGGGAACGAGTTAATTATTGACGGGCCAATGCCCAAACTCCCTCCGTGGCTAGTTCCTTTTCGTGACTAACTCCCTTCTGAGGGAACGGTAACGAACAAGCGTCGAATTTAAACAGATTTTTCACTCGTCTGTTGTCGGAGTGTACGAACTAAAACAAACTTTGTGAGATGACGGACATCAGTCACAAAAACTTTGTCCATTCTTGTAGTTATTTTTAGTCACGTGCTCCCATGCATAACGCCGCAACCAGGATTTTTCAAACTAGTACGGAATTAGGGGTAGGTCGGAATTAAGGCACCCCCTCAGGATCTAAGTATTTATCTCTGTTTATCGAGAGATGCTGTTTTCCCTGGCGTACGCGTCGCCAAAGAAAGGTACTTCGTATAGGTCCGTTTCAAATAGTGTATTACCACTGTGACAACATTTTATACCCCAAAATAGGAATCTTGCGTCTTGTTTAGACCCGCTACGGTAGAAATAACGCAGTGCCAGATCGCCGCCGTGTATATACGTTACGTACTAGCGAGCGCGCACGAAAATACCACCCGAGTAGAGTAGGTTATCACAACCCTTTAGAAAGACACAAAGAAAACAAAAACGACAGATTTGCATTAAGAATAGGGAAATTTATGCCGGACTTGGCCGGACACGAAAGCCGATCCTCGCCCGTTAGGTTTACGTTGACCAGTGCACTACGTGCACGGGGAATTCCCGGTTTGTACCACACGGGGTCTCCTTGTTTGTATCGCACGGGCCACGCTCAAACTTTTCTGGAATTGACCAATCAGAGCTCGTTAAAACCATTTGCTCTCTTCACGCGTCCTTTCCACAAGCAGGACGCTCATTTACATGCTCATTTAGCCAATGACTGGTGAGAGCAGTCAGCGTCAGGATTCAGTCGACCACAGGACCCCAGGTTAGTAACACACACTCTGTATTAGCTCTCTGTAGTTCATATCCCTTGTGGGTTCCACTCCTGTAACTTAGATCCGAAACTAGACCACTGTAACTCTAAGACTAGACCATTGACTTTGTATATATACAGCAGATCACAATACAGCAACCCGTACAATCGAAATCGACCCGGCTCTGTGTTTTACTTGGTTAACTAGCAAATCAGATAGACGCGTAACCGTGACGTAAGTAAAGTTAGACCAAGAACTAAACCGAGATCCCCGAAATACTACACTGATTCCTCCTAAATTCTACACTGGTTTCCATACCGGATTGTACGTCAAGTTGTTGTCCTGTGAACGCTGCTGTAATTGCTAGAATTTTCGTTAAAAGTTGCCACACACTTCGTATAGTTCGTAGCTTTGACCATCTGCTAAGCGTCCCCACGTGTTCCGCATTTTCGGCTAGCTTTCTCGGCCTGTTTTCCAAACTTTGCTAAGTTTATAGTTCACTTTGTCCGGCTGATTTTGTGGCGCTTTTGGCGTTATTGCTTTTCCCGTACCCCAACTTTTTCGGATAGAACGTTTTTCTCCGGTTAGAAAAGCCGAGTTTCAGTTTCTGAGAATCCCTATCTAAGCGTCACTTCACGGGTGGTCCTTTGTTTGTGTCGCATCTTGCATTCCTGTGCCATCTTGTCCCAGTTACCCCTGTGGTGTAACGGTCGCCCCTCACTGGTCATTTCCTGCCCTTCTGTGGCTGTATTGTTTCTGAAAGCTGGTTTTCCCTTTTTGATGCGCTTTCCCATGCTTTCTTGTGTTTTTATTGCCCCGTCTAGCCCCGTTCTTTTGTGCCCTAGTATTTTTTCTCTCCGCTAAATTTGCCCTTTCCTGTTCGGCTATTTTTTTCCTAATCCTCCTGCCTGGCCTTTTTGTTAGTCTGTCCTTCACTATGGCCCCAAAAGTTGACTTTGCCTTTGGTTTTGGAACTTCATATCCCGTCTCGATTCGTTTGTGGAAAGTCGAGCCAGTACGGCCAGGGGGCGAGTTGTTAGCAGACATTCCCGCGATGATAATGAAGACCTTTATTGTACATTTGTGTTCTACAGAACTAAGTACAGGTCGCATGGGTACAGAACATGAACATAAACATATACATTACATACAAATGAACATATAAGAGCGTAAATAAATGTCTAATTTCTATTCTTTTCGGCTTCATCTCGCTTAGTAGTGATTGTATGGATATATGCGGCTGTGAGATCACTTAGGGTAGGTTTATCGAAAGTTAAAAGGAATACAAATTTCTCTTTACTAGTCAAATATCTGAAGTGGGGAAATATACTTAATACATGGCTAAAAATATGAGTGTATCTCTACTATACAAGGGGCAATCTATGGTGAAATGTATTTCATCTTCTATTTGGCCTAAACTACAGAATTGACAGGTTCTTTGTTCTAGAGGAGTGCGGTAATGTCTTCCTGATTTAATTCGTAATTTGTAACAACTGATTCTTAGTTTTGTAATGGAGGACCTGTGACGTATGTTCGCTAAGTTGAGATATTTTTTCTTCTCTTTTCTTATCTATGTTTTTATTTTCTATAATGACAGTTGACACGAGGCTAATCACCGCTGTTTCCCTACAGTTGCCCAGGCCGGCGGGCGTGGAGATACGTAGCCCCTTTGCCTTCTCTCAACCAGGGATACAGACATAAAAAGGTGAGTTCATACGTACTTTTATCCATAATTTTACAGGGTGTGGATGTTTGGTAACGTCGGCCAGTTTTGGCTAAGTTAATTTATAAGGCGCAGAAGGACTGCAGTTCACAGCTGTCATGTCAAGTGTACTTTTGACGCACATTCTATATCAGCCTTGTCTTCAACTGTTTTCTACGTTTCGATGACTTGTTTAGGAAATGTACACCTTGTTTTGAAGAAATACATTTCAAACCGCTACCATTTGCTCACGGTGACGTTCGCACCACGATATGTTTTGGCCGAGATCTTTATGAGGCGCGGTGAGAGACATATTACTGTTGACTTACTTGCTGTGGATAGAGGGTAGCCATTTAAACGGGAGATTTGTCAGGTATCATATACAATAATGGTAGGAGTGTATTTCATGTATAGATACCTTCAA